TTTTACGTGGTGTTTGCATATAAATGTGTCTTGGCAGTGTGTGGACACAACCACCCTACAATGATAAAAATCCATTCACTCCTTTTTTTTTAATCCCCAAAAAACTAAACAGTCTCAATTTTCAAGCTGTTTTGATTTTCTGAGCAGTATGACGTCATATTGCTTTGGCCCTGCCCACGACCACTGACGGACTGTCCCGTATTAGCATATTTCTGCCCTCAGCCAGTTGTGTGCTGTCCGCCATTTTCTCTGCGCTCGAGCAGCTGTAGCGACAACAATGTCTCGAGCAGGTGTTTTGTAGTTGGATGTAAAAGTGAACATAAGAGTCTTCATTTTCTCCCGGCATCAGAGCCACTGAGGACGCAATGGATTCGTTTTGTTTTTGATGGTAACAAGCCACCGAATACACAGAAAAATGGAGGAGAGGGGTGGGGTAAGCAGTAGCTCATTATCATTTAAATAGAAATGGCTCACTGTGAACAGAGCTGTTTTTGACAAGGTAAAAAGGGTGTTGCTTTACACGACCATTGAGGAATTTTAACCAAAGTATGTTGCAGACATTTCATGAAGCCCCTAAAGAATCATACCAACTTGTGGAAAATGAGCATCCGATGTCCCCTTTAACCTGTCAAACACATAGCATGACCACAGCAGTGACAATAGACCATTTGCACGTACGTCACGGTTTGGTTACCCGGATGCGCGGCCATATTGGAGAAACTCGGATGTAAACAACAGCATGTATTGCACGGCTAATGTACTACTCTAGACGTTCTTTTACTAATTTATAATGTCTAAACCATGGAAAATATGTGTGGAAACTGCTAAATCATATAGAGAAGGAATTAGTAAGCAGGAAAGGGTGCGATATTTTGACAAACTAAAGTTAATAGGTGGTAAAGATCCATACGAGCTGGCTCCTTTGTCTTGGACTGACGACCTGCCAATTCTTCCTTCTATTTTTTATCCCGACATAAGCTGCACTTCCATTACCCTTCAAACTGCGCAAAGAAGCATCCCAGAAGTGGCTTTCCGCGCTGCTTCGCTAAAGACATCTACATCTCCTTCAATTAAAGATAATGGCTAGTGCAGGGGTGGCGAACTCCGGTCCTGGAGAGCCTCAGCCCTGCAGAGTTCAGCTCCAACCCTAATAAAAACTCACCTGCCTGTAGCTTCCTAGAAGCCGTTCAGACCTTGATTAGATTGTTCAGGTGTGTTTGATTAGGGTTGAAGCAAAACTCTGCAGGGCTGCGGCTCTCCAGGACCGACGTTCGCCACCCCTGGGCTAGTGTGATGGTTGCGATATTGTAAACCTACCAACATCCGTCGCCATGACTTATCGCTAGAGGAAAAAAATAAGTTTTAGTCACATAACATCAATTAATGGAAACGTCATCGTTTTTTATCAACATTTTATAAAATATCGCAAAAGTTTTGTGCAAATCTGTAATGGAAAAGCAACTATAGTGAACTACTTATTTTTTTCGCCAAGCCCACACACGAGTTCCGTTCGTTTCAGTGGCATTGTTTACGTTCAGTGCCGCCAATATGGCCGACTTTCGGATTGAGGACGTGTCGTGAAAACACCCTATAGCGCACTACATCAAATAGTGCTCCAACTGTAGTCAGTGGAGCACACGGAAACTGGCTGCACATTCGTTTGGCGGGAGGTGTAACTTCCATGGCCTGCGCGTCGTTTGTAGTGTAGAGTGTAGATCCAGTGAATGCTGGAATGCTCCTCCCGAGGTGGCGGCTTGCACTGCAGAACCTCCCAAAGCAGCAGCATCCACTCCAGAATGCTCTCCAGAGTCCGCTCCAGAAAGCTTTCCTGAGTCCCTTGAATCTCCGCTGGTTCCGTCCAGCTCTCCTGAGTCTCCTGAATCTCCGCTGGTTCCGTCCAGCTCTCCTGAGTCTCCTGAATCTCCGCTGGTTCCGTCCAGCTCTCCTGAGTCTCCTGAATCTCCGCTGGTTTGTTCGATCACCGTTATACTAAGTTGTGTTTTCCCTTGTTAATCTGCCTGAGTTTTGAGTCCATTATTAAACTGTGAGTTTTGGAATTTACCCACTGTGTCCTTTGCCTGGCTTCTCAACACAACCCGTGACAACACTGACTCAGCAGCTGAGTTACAGAAAAACTGGGTTAAAAATCATTAAAAATAACCCAATAAAATGACCCAACAGGCTGAACCCAGCATTTGGGTTAAAAATAAATAAATAAATAACCCAGCATTTATTAGAGTGCAGAAAAAAAATATTTATATACACTCCTGGACGATTCTGGCAGTGTGGTATGGCACATTATCCTGTTGGTAATGGCCATCACTGGCAGGGAATGCAGTTGCCATGAATGGGTGCACTTGGTCCACAACAATGTTAAGATACCTGACAGCTGTCAGTGTAACCAGTGTAATGATGTCCAGTTAGCATTATATATATATATATATATATATATAAAAAATTTTGTGAGAATAATCAAGAATTTTGGTGTGCCCCTATCTGATATACTATGTACAGTCAGTACCATAATTGCGACACTTTACTGACCTAATTAGTGCCATTAGTATCCAGACTGAAGACTGAATCATTTACTGAGAAAGTCATTTAATCTGTAATTCAAACTGTAATAACATAATTTTCCTATCCTGCCTAAACTTCAAAGTGCAAGAACTACCCAAAGGAGGAGAAACAAATGAGCTTGCACGTCCAGTAAGTTTGCTTTCAGAACTGCTTGAATTCATTCGCCCAAAAATTAAAAAACTGTCATACTGACTCTAATGTCACTCCAAACCTGTAGAACTTAGTTTCTTGTGGGTGAACTATCCCTTTGAGTTCATATGACAAGCTTTCATCAAATTGAGCATGCAGTTTCATTCACTGAATAGGCCATAATGCAAAATTAGGGCTTTGACACAAAGACTATGGTCTATGGGAAGCAAAGTGATTTGATCTGATAATTAGAGTCATTCACTAGGAAAATCATATGTTCCTGCAGAGGCAAATATAGAGGTATTAAAGGGGTCATATGATGCTATTTTAAAGATCATTATTTTACATGAAGGATGATTGTGCTTAATAGCTATCAATTGAGGCCAAATCACAAAATCAAGGAAGGTTAGATATCATTCATGCAAAGCGCTTCCCTTCATTAATGGTTAATTTACTCAAATGCATGTGTCCAACCCCTGATTAGAAATTAGGCAAATTGTGCAGTCGAGAAATAGAGACTGGATAAATAATTTGACTGATGGTATAGAATTATTGCCAAACCTAACATTTACAGTAAGATTTTTTTTCCTGCTCTGATTATTGTTTGATGATTAAGATGTAAATTACACTTAATTTCACAATCTGATTCCTTCCTTTTATGCTTTGCGATTTATTTGGGATGGCATTTTGGGATTTTTTTGATGATGGTGATTATGTGGCAGTTATGAAATTCAGAATTAAACAGTTTACACACCTGTGGTGTGTCTGTGTTTCTAAAGACTTGCAAAAAGATCTTTGGGTGTGTAAATAAGGAGGGGTTTTTTTTGTGTACGTGTGTCTGAGACACTTACAATTAGCTGACCAACATGTAAATAAATAAATTTGCCAACATTGAAGTTTGATATAGAATGCAGTTTTAGATGTTGAGCATGTTACACCACAGAGTACTAAACATTTACAAATGTATTTAATACACTGCAAAAAAAAATAATCATTTGAGTATGTTTTACAAGAAAATACTATTTTTAAGTTTAATTAAATGTGTTACTTGCCATTTCTTTGTAATTAATTGTGAAACTTATTAGCATTTCTGAGTGAAAAGTTTTTCTACACACAAATTAAGAGGTAAATAAGGTAAACATCTGTCTTATTTACTTACTGTTAAATAAAAGTATATGTAGTCAATAAAAAGATTAACATACAAAAAGGCATTTTACTTAAATGCATGCAGTTATATAAATATACAAATGCTGATATATATACATATATATGTGTGTGTTTGTGTGTGTGTGTGTGTGTATATATATAATTTAATTATAATTAATAATTATTTAATATATATATTGCTTTAAACGACATAAACCTGACTTATTTTGTTAGATTTATGTTAAAACAAGAAATAAAATCAGTTTTCTCATTTTCCTATTTAAGGATATTTTGGTATTTGTACTGGAAGACAAGACAAAAATACTAAAATGAAACATGTTTTATTAATTTAATTCAGAATGAAGCCCAAGCATATTCGAATAGACAGAGGGTGGCAAATTTGAAAAAAGCTGTTTTAATTTGTTTACATAAACCTCATTGTATTTTAGTGACTTCACTGTTATTCTAAAATGTAGAAAACAGCAATAACAGAGAATGAGTGGGTGTGTCTAAACTGCTATTGTACAGCTAACACATACATAAACTGGCTTATGTGCTCCTTTATGCTGGAATTGCTCAATTACAGCTCTGCCTGTGAGTTTAATTATTCTTATATCAATTATACTATCAGAACACTTACACTAAGCCGTAAATTTGCACCATTACAGTTTGTTTTTCAAATTAACCTGTGTGATTCATCTAAAATCCTTCCAGGAAGCAGTGGAATAGTGTAGGCACTTCAATTACTCATGTGGATGGGTTGAGAACGGAGAAGTGAATATATACCGGACTAAAGCGTAGAGAAGTGTCACAGCGCAAGAAGCCGTGGTATCAGTCAGCCTTGCTTTGCTTTAGTCATTTGAGTTTAACTCAGCTGTTACTCTTTTACCAAACAGGGACAAAAATCTCTTCAGATTCAACATCACTCCAGAGCAAGAACCACAAACATGTAAGTAATCAACTAAAAATGATCAAATATGCTTTCAGAGTTTTTTGAAGAGAAACGCCACTATATGCAATTAATATATATATATATATATATTCAATGCAGCTTTATGTGTTCTAGAGGAAAAAGGCAACAAAAGATCTTATATCACTTAAATGACAACTAATATCACTCTCATTCTTTCTCCTTTGCACCTCACAGCATGTCTCTCGTAAAGTATGGCCTGTACAACAACTTCTGCAACATCGGCCGTTTCCCAGGCATTAAACTGGAGTCTGACAGTTTCTGGAGAGGGTCTGGCTGTGTGCCGGTTTACAGTAACCCTTGCGTGAAACCTGTTGTCAATCCTTGTGTGAATCCCTGCATGAAACCTGTCGTCAATCCTTGTGTGACTCCCTGCGTGAAACCTGTCGTCAATCCTTGCGTGAAGCCTGTAGTCAATCCTTGCGTGATTCCTTTTGTGAATCCTTGTGTCAACCCATGCAACAACCCTTGCACCATCCCTTGCGACTATGTGAAGCCACGCTGTGATTATGACTGCAAGGAAGTTGTCCTCAAGGACTGTGCGGATGACTGCCAGGTCGTGCGCACCTGCGAAGGTAAGAGTTGTAGATCTTTGGCCTGAGCAGCATTTTGTGAAATTTGTCAATTAAAGCTCCTAATTGATTCCCTCTGCTTGGTTTTTCTCAGATTTGGTTCTGCAGGTTCGTTGTGTAGACCAGATGAAATCCTGGAAGTGTCAGAATCGTCAGGAGCATCACACCAGTTGTTTCCGCAGTGATCACCTCATTGTCCGTAGAGGACAGTGTTTCCAGATGTGGATTGAGCTTTCCCGGCCATTCAATCCAAAATGTGACCAACTTCACCTGGAGCTGAGACTTGGTCAGTTAAGTCCTTTCGATCAGTCTTGCGATGATGTGATTCTAAGACCATCACTGTTATTTCCAGTGTTATTTATCATTAATATACTATTTTGAATTAGTTTTGTATTTTCTGTTTTAATTTTAATTTGAAAGTTTTAGTAATTCTCTTGTGTTTTTGTCATTTTTATTTTTTAAATTAATTTTTATTTACTTTTTAGTTATTTTATTACTTTAAACAAACAAAAAAAATTAGAAATGCTGCCTTGGCAACTAACTGAAATAAACTGAAAGTTTTTTATATTTTATTTTTATATATTTTTTTATTTATTTTAAATACATTTTTTTATTTTTTTTTTATTTTTTATTTTTTATATTTTATAGTTAATGTATATTTTGTTTTA